ACAACACGCGACCTGAGAAAAGGCCCAAGACTGATCTTGGCAGCTACGCTCAGGTCGCAAAGAAAATGATCAGGTGGGCTGTCGTCCCAGAGAACTACCCAGATCGAAAAATCACACCCGAAGAAATCAAGGGCCTGAAGGGACTGCTTAGGTCCCAGATCCGCTCCTTGCCAGAAGGGACTAAGGCACCGACTTTTGAGGGGGTGTGGAAAAGGGACGGGGCAGCCATTGTCGGCTGCACCGACGAAGAAACGAGGAACTGGCTGAAAGGACTGTTCCCCGAAAACAAAATCGGGGACCTTGTCCTCGCGGTGATGCCACCGGAGCAGCTACCCAAGCGACACCGTGTGGTAGTTCACCTTGGGGACGAGGATGTCACCGCCCAGGAGGCAATCGAGCTCATGGGACGGCAGAACCCCGACCTTAAAGGTGTTTGGGTCCTGATTACAGGCAGCGAAACAAGGGGAGCCACAGGCGCCCACTTTGCTGCCCTGATCGGGGATCAAACCCTGCGGGCCCTAGAGGCTTGCAATTTTAAACCTCACTGCGGGACTCAAAGAGCAACTATCAAGTTGCTCGAGAAGAACCGACATAAGGAAAAGGACAAGCCTATTGACGGGTGAACCTAGAAATGGCTCATAAGTCGGTAGAGATAGTTCAGATTAATCTACATCACAGTAAAAGCGCCTCAGCAGTTCTCTGCAAGACGCTAGCTGGGGTGCAGACAGCCATAGCCCTAATTCAAGAACCATGGTTCGTTAACGGGGGGTAAAGGGCCTGGGGGGATGTGGAAAAATTTTTCACTCGAACACCCAAGGAAAGAAGATTAGGACCTGTGTGTTAGTAAAAGGCGCACAAGCGACCTTCTTACACCAACAAAGCGGAGAGGACCTCACGGCTGTGAAGCTCATGGTCCTCACCGAGAAGAACGAGGTCCTGGACTTCATAGCGGGATCACCATACCTGCCATATGATTCCATGGAACCTCCCCCAACAAGGGAGGTCGAAGAACTCGTCAAAAAAGTGAAGGACGAAAGGCTGGAACTTCTGCTTGGGTGCGATGCGAACTCACACCATCTGGGGTGGGGAAGCTCAAATACCAATGCTAGAGGAGAAGCCCTAAATGACTTCATTATGGAAAAAGACCGCCAAATCCTGAACAGAGGAAAAGAACCAACCTTCATGGACTGCAGAAGACATGAAGTGTTGGACATAACCATCTGCACGGCAGGCAGGGCACGTTGGGTTAAAGACTGGAGGGTGTCGAAAAAACCTTCGGGCTCAGACCACAGCCAAATACGCCTGTCATTAACGTGCGAATCGGAACAGATCCCTAGGAGAAACCCAAAGGACACAAACTGGGGAAGTTACAGAGAGGAACTCTTCGTGAGGATCCAAGATGTACCCTCAAGATTCAGAACCAAGAGAGACCTGGAACATGCAGCCGAACGTCTCGGAGAAGTGATCAAGGACTCCTATGAAAACAACTGCAACATTAAAAGACCGCCGAATACAAAAATGGTGGGCTGGTGGAATAACCAACTGTCCATTTTAAGATGCCAGCTAAGGAAAGCGTGGAACAAGGTGAAGACCGCGTACACGGAAAACAGCAGGCAGAAGGCCCTCGAAGATCGCAGAGGTCTTCAGAGGAAATACAATAAGGCACTCGTAATAGCCAAAAACGAGGGCTGGAAGAAATTT